CGATTTTGGGCGGACGAGGGTGACTGGGTCAACGACTGCCAGCCGGGAACTTCATTATTAGCATTGGACGGCACAGAATCAGGATTCGATGTAGGCGCCGGCGGCTGGGAGGAATTGTCATCCGACGCATCTAGCTCTTGGAGCCGCATATTCTCGATATTGGCGGCCAGTCCTGCCTCGACAGGGAGTCGAGTCTCGGGTTGACGCTCATCACCAGAGGTCCGCGAGGGTTGTGTAATAGCGTTGGGGTCCGGTTGGGGGGTATGTGTCTCCGACCGGGCGGGTTCCAGGGCGCCGGGCTTATCTTCCGCAGAAGCGGATTTTGATTCCTCTTGCTCCTCAAAGTCGTTGGTATCGTCGACCTCCGCACTTAAATCGGTGTAGGCACGGCAGTTGGGGCATTGGAACATGGGGTAGTCGGGCGTATGGATCAGGCGGCTGACACATTTGTAGTGCCAGACGTGGGCACACGCCGCCATGAACAGGCACTGGTAAGGGCGCTTCGAGATTTGTTAGCGACGGTAATGCCAGGTGAAGACGCTGAAAACTTACTAGAACAGATCCTAGGCAAATGGAGCATTCCCGGCATCCAGAATACTCTGCGGTATCCCCCTTTCCAAGATTTTTGATAAGATTTTCGGTGTTTTTGCTATTCTCCGTTAGCTTCATTCACATCGCGTTGGTCACTCTAGGAATCTTCGCATACTTGAATTCATTGGGCTGCTGCTGCCAGGACCGGTTGCATTCGATCCGTATGCGGACGCAGCGAAAGATCATTTCCTCGCCACCGCGGAAATCAATGCCTAACTGCACAATATCTCCATCTTTGATAGTATAGAGTCGGGAGGCGATATTCGGCTGGCTCAGTCGCATGTGGTTGAGAAAGGTGCCCGACGAACTACCGACATCCTTAACATGCCACTGTCCGTTCAGATACATGAACTCGCAATGTTTGCGACTCACGACCTTTGATTTGAACCCGACAGGGGCATCGGAAGGCTCTGTGGGGTTGGCCACGGGCGTGCCATCCCGCTCGGAGTATCGCCCAACACGGATAACACAACTATCGGATGGCAATGTGCGAGAAATCGGGATGAAAGGCAATGAAGGGCGGCTGCTAGCGTGCGAGTCTTGGTGAGGAAAGAAACGGATGGTGGCTTTTTGTTTCGGTCGCGGGGACGAAGTACACGGGCTTTCGGACACGACTGGATCTGGGCTCTCAAGGGCGCCGGGCTGAATGTTCCCTGCGCTCGACACGTCCCCGTGGGGCCTCGCCTCGACAGCTTGTGATGAACCTCGGGGTCGCGCCATTATTTCTTGCGTCTGATTCCCAGCGGTCGTCTCGTTGCGAAGAGGGGTGTTGGACGATTCTGTAGGGGATGGCTGGGAGCGCAAGTCGAGTTCGAGGCCACGGTAGCTGGGGGAAAAAACCGAGCTATAGCGGGCGAACGTGGACTGATGTTCACTTTCGGGACATGGGGCCCGGTTGGTTGTCCCCACCGTCGAGATTGAAGATTCGGGTCCGGTGGAGGCGGCTGAAAACCAAGAAACTCGACTACCGAGAGTATGACGACGCGAAACCCGCTGGCTGTTGGTGGACGAGGAGGAAGAGGAGGCGACACTGGGTTGTTGTGGCTGTTGAGGTGGAAGTGGAGGTGGAGGTGGAGGGGAAGGGGAAGAAAAATGAAGTTGAGTGTAGGCACGCAGTTGACTAAGGCGACGGAGAGGACGTAGACGAGAGTCGGAGGAGGGAGGAGAGGGAGAGGAGGGGAGGAGGTTGGAGGAGGGAGAGGCGGAGGCGGAAACGGAAACAGAAGACATGGGGGGTTTGGGGGGTTTGGGGGGTTAAGTTGACGTGGAACGGATTTCTAGTTGGTCGGGCTGGACTGCACTGGGTCCGGCGGGAGGACAGACAAGATAATGATCATTCAATCATTTAATCAGAGAGAGTATGGGTGTGAGTATGTGAGTATGTGTGTGTGCGTGGCCAGTGAGTGTATATATGTTTGTTCCAGAAAACAAAGAGAACAACAGCAGCAACAATGGCGACGAACAAGAGATCCTCCCGATCGATCCCTGAATCTTGGTTGTCCCTCGTCCCTGACTCCCTCGCTGATGGATGGAGTAGGCAAAACTGGATCTCGTGCGATCAGCGCGACAGCCCTAAATTGGGATCTTCTGCGCCAGTCAGTGGTTCCGATCGGTTCGGTGAGTAAGTTAATGCGCTTCTCGAAGACGAGATCTATGCTCCAATGCGACACGCAGGAGAGCGCGAGGGAAGGGAAGGAGGAGAGAGAAAGCGCGCGCGCGACAGAGAGAGGAAGAGAGAAGGAGGGAGGAGGGAGAAGGAGAGAAGAAAAAGCCAGGAGGGCGTGAACAGACAAGGAGAAGAACAAGAACAAAACCAGAACCGGGCAATACTGAATGATCGATTAAATGATTGAATGAAACTGGAATGCCGGAAAGAGATGGCCACCATGCGAGTCAAATGGTAAGATCGACTGCCAGTGGGGCGAGTGGAATGTATGGACTATGGACTATGGGCTATGGGCTAATGTGTACGGGCGCAGAGAGGCAGGGAGAAGAAGACAACGACGACGACGACGATGATGAAGAAGAAGAAGAAGACGAAGAGCGAAGAACCTGATGAAGATTCATCGCACCATTTTTATCAGTTTCACCCCCTCTCTTCATCCCGTCCTAGAAGACCCATGGAACTTAGTCCCTACTTCGTACACTGCTCTAATTTCGCTGTTCTTCACCAAATCCAGCCCAATAACTACTCGCTACATTTGCTCGGAGCATTTCCCTTGGACGCGTCAATGGATACCTTAGTTCCTGCACATCCAGCAAGAGATCCACTGATTGAATCCTCAAACATTGCCCAACGGAGGATTTCCATGGGTTCCGTCTCTTTGGGTGTAAACCACTGAATATGAAAGCATGTCTTGGCCCTTACCGCCACAGCTCGCTTCATTCCTACCAGGCACGGATGCGGCAAGCCACGCAGGAAGAGCTATGAGTTATCAGTGGAGTTTGTGAGGTGATAGACGTCTGATTACAGCAGTGGCCCAGAATCTCAGGCTGGATTAGCTTTGCGGGGAAGGAACTGAGCGCTAGTTACCTGCCTCTGCTTGTTCGCCTCTCGGTCCGGTCACGGGCGCGGCCCTCCATGTGATGCAGCCATCGGCCGGGATCATCTCACGTGGAAGCGCAGCACACGCCTGTCCATTGGCGATCATCGAGGGTCGCGCGGGGGGTGGACTGGCATTCCTCTGGCTGGTGCTGGGAGACATCCCTAGTGGGGTTGATTACCCTGAAGCGTGGACAGAACGTCAACTAGATAGATATGACAAACCGGCAGGGCTTGGTCGGTTGATCACGTCGACAGCTGCGTCCCGTCTATCTTGATGAGACCCTCCAATAGTTCAGACTTTTTTAGGCATGGAATAAACAATGCAATGCGAGACATATATGAGTGCGCGCCCCGCTAATATGAGAGCAAGCGTCTCGGCTGCAACCACCCGAACAATATATATTTGTGATGAAAAGGGGGGGGGGGGGGGAGGACACCAGCTGGGTCATTCACCATCTGTCTGGTGATCGATCATATTGCAACCCTTCGGGTGAACTCAAGTTGTTGTTTAGAACTTCACCGTCTAAACATTGTGTAGAATAGGTTTCACCGCAACTCAGACTAGTTGAGCTGGTCGACCGCGGAGAATGTCAACCCAAGACCAGTGGCGCAATTGGCCCTGGGTACTGGGTAGTAGTGATCATGGAGTGAACCGTTAGCTTCCGAGGTGGAACCGGGGCAAAGCTGCCCCCATGATAACGAAGGAATCGGTGAAGGACGAGGAGGGTTCGATTGGTTCGCTTGAAGGAAGAGGACGTTTTCGCCGCGTATGGAATTGGTAGAGACTTTTGACTATCAGTTAGTGAACCATAAGAGTCATAATAAGTGTGATTTTGAATTGAGTTGCGATTGAAAGATCAACCCAGCAAGAAGCGGTGGGGGAAGGAAGAAAGAAGAGATGACGAGGTGACAATGACGATGACGATGGATAGGGAGAGATAAACAATAGTTAGACACTGCTATAACAGAGTCACGAAGTAATACGTAATTCGATTTCCGTAGAAGTTGGGGAATCTGGGACCAGGAACCTAGGATCATCTGGTCAATTGGATGTCCAAGGATAGCGCAGCCATCGCAGGTGTTTTGTTCCTGATAAAGATTGCAATATCAGTAGGTTAGGTACTGAGTAATGCTGGTAGACTGATTGTAAAGATCTCCGACCGGTGGAGCTTTCTCAGGCTGGCAGATGAGATGATGGAGTGCGCACGCTCTTGCCTGCTTACTTGCCTGCTTACTTGCCTGCTTGCTTTGCTAGCTTCCTCCCAACCTCCACTATCGTAATGTCACCATTCACCAACTAAACTACCTACTGCTACAACCACTGCTGCTGCTGCTGCTGCTGCTGCTGCTTGTGCTGCTCAGTGACTTTACTTACCCGCTACTGCGAGCTGCCGTCTCTTTCTTTCTCTTCTCCAGTGCTTCTTCTTCTTCTTCTTTTTCTTCCTCCTCCTCTCTTTCCCTTCCCCATTCCCCAATCTCTCTCTCTCCCTCCCCCCCAATCCCTACTCCCCCCAATCCCCCCCCATTTCTCTCCCTCCTCCCCCCATCTCCCTCTTCTCCTCGTTCATTGTATCCGATCTTCTCTCTCATCCACTTGTCCGATCGAACCACCTTCCCATGTCAGGATTAAAGTGACTGCTGGAATAAAGGGAACATAGGGACAGGGACAAAGAAACTTGGACCCTCCTGCTCTCGCATCAACCTCCCATCCGCCGCCTCGTCTACTTAAAAGCGGTGCTCACTAACCGAACCATCCATCCTGCCGTCTCGCAATCTCCCAGCCGCTAGTATCAGCAGAGCCTCCCCCGCCCCCCGGCCCCTTCTTTGTTGTTCTATCGCCTATTCGATCTTTCCTCCTTCATCCCATCGATTCCAGATCGTTAATCTCTATTGCGAGCTATTCTTGCCTATACACGTTTACCGCCTTGTTCGTCCTTGATGCAATAAGGAAAGCAACAAGGAAACAAGAACAAGATCCAGACGAGTGGCTGCCCCCCAGTCTACGATCGCACTTAGGCGTCCTGTCGCCATCTGTCGTCCTTGAAGTCATTGCTTGCGGGGCCTCTTCCTGGTCCTGCGGGCTTCTACAACCGAAGACATGAGTGGAATTACGAGCGCTTGTTTGTCCTGTTTATCGACGGTGGACCGTTGGTGTCATATCTCGGCATGCCTCGGTCCGATCGGTGGTCGCTCTAGGGATGGGATTTACGAATCCACTTTGGCAGACAATGAACGCGAAGCAGTCTCTGACTTGCTGCAATTCCTCGATGCGGTAAGCCCCGTCCTCTCTCAGGCCGTGACCTATCTCTGGGGCATCGCTCACACATGCGCGACAGCAACAACGTCAAGAGATTGATTTCTTCAATGGCGAGCCTCTTCGGGCCTTGAGCACTCTGGTGTATTCCGACAATGTAGAACTTCAGCGAAGTGCAAGTTTGACCTTTGCTGAGGTCACAGAGCGAGGTACGTACGACGCGCATAGGATTGATTACGGCAATGGCTGACGGCTGAGTTACCCGGCCATAGATGTACGCGAAGTCGATCGGGACACTCTCGAGCCTATCCTTTTCTTACTGCAGAGCTCCGACATTGAAGTGCAACGGGCGGCCAGTGCAGCACTTGGAAACTTGGCTGTGAACGGTAGGGCCTTTCCCTTCCTCTACAATCGCCTTTGCTGATTGGGTCCAGCGGAGAACAAGGTGTCGATCGTCGCGTTGGGAGGTCTGGCTCCCCTAATACGGCAGATGATGTCCCCTAATGTCGAGGTCCAATGTAATGCCGTTGGTTGTATTACGAACCTGGCTACCCACGAGGATAACAAGGCGAAAATCGCCCGCTCCGGCGCATTGGGCCCATTGATCCGGCTGGCAAAATCCAAGGACATGCGAGTACAGCGTAATGCGACTGGCGCGCTGCTGAATATGACGCACTCGGGTCAGACACCTCACTACAACAGCGACAGCCCAACCTCGCTAACAGAATGCGCAGATGACAACCGACAACAACTCGTCAACGCAGGCGCCATTCCTGTTCTGGTCCAATTGCTATCCTCCTCCGATGTTGATGTACAATATTACTGCACTACTGCCTTGAGCAATATCGCCGTCGATTCGTCGAACCGCAAGCGACTAGCGCAGACCGAGTCTCGATTAGTCCAGTCGCTTGTGCATCTCATGGATTCCTCGACACCAAAGGTCCAATGTCAAGCTGCTCTGGCACTGCGCAATCTGGCTTCCGATGAAAAATACCAGCTTGAGATTGTGCGCGCGAAGGGACTTTCGCCGCTGTTGCGCCTCCTGCAATCCTCTTACCTGCCCCTGATCCTCTCCGCCGTCGCATGCATTCGCAACATCTCCATACACCCCCTCAACGAATCTCCCATCATCGACGCGGGATTCCTCAAACCTCTGGTCGATCTGCTCGGCTCGACTGACAACGAGGAGATACAATGTCACGCCATCTCGACCCTGCGGAATTTGGCGGCAAGCTCTGACCGTAACAAGGAGCTCGTTCTTCAGGCCGGAGCGGTTCAAAAGTGCAAGGACCTGGTTCTTCGCGTCCCTCTTAGCGTACAGTCCGAGATGACGGCTGCGATCGCTGTGCTGGCCCTCAGCGACGAATTGAAACCGCATCTTCTGAACCTCGGCGTCTTTGATGTTTTGATCCCTCTCACCGAGTCGGAGAGTATCGAAGTGCAAGGAAACAGTGCCGCAGCCCTGGGAAATCTCTCATCCAAAGGTATTTGAGCCGCTAGCCTACGGGCTTGTTAATGCTGAGTTCATGGACTAACGTGTGGTAGTGGGAGACTATTCGATTTTCGTGCGCGACTGGGCGGATCCTAACGGTGGCATTCACGGCTACCTTAGCCGGTTTCTCGCAAGCGGCGACCCGACATTCCAGCACATTGCTATTTGGACTTTGCTGCAACTTCTCGAATCTGATGACCAGAGATTGATTGGGTACATTGCCAAATCGGATGACATAGTCCAGATGGTCAAATCGATCTCTGATAAGAACATTGAATCCGACGAAGAAGATGCAGATGAGGGTGAAGGCGAGGTCATTGCGCTGGCACGGCGATGCCTCGAGTTTCTGGGGAGTGGTCACAAGCAGACCCTTGTAGAAGGCTAATCTAATTTCGTCTTTTCGAGCGCTGACGCCGGTTTGCGAAGCTCACTACTCCTGTTCCTTTTCTTACCTCGATAATCATTCGATTCTTCCCCGTGTCTTCTGTCTTACCTACTATACCTTGAGTGTCCCTGTTATGTGGATGTTTTGCTACAATGACCTATATTTGTCACAGGTGTTAAGCGAGCATATGATTCGGTGTCACTTATCTATTATTCTATCATGTCAGCGAGCATTAGGTGTGAGTGATGAGAAACTGATTTGTTTTCGTTGGGAGTGTGACCTACAGTTACTTCTAGGTCACATACGAGTCATCTGCGACTAACGCTGTATTTACTATGTACCTAAGAGCACATCTCGAGCCTATCATTTATCTATAGCTGATTTGCTTTTTTGCTTTTTTTTTTCTTCCATCATTTATCATTAGAGATATTGAAGCGATGATGTCATGTGCGCGAACACTCGCATCTTTCTGTGTTTGTTCCGTATGTCCATCCAACGCTGAACGGGGAAAGAGTTTCTCCCGTCCCGTCCGGAGCTCCGCCAAACTGAAAAAAGAAGTCAAGCTCTGCGGCTGTTCATCATTCCACACCTGCCGAACAACTGACAGCCTCACCTTCTTACGATACCATTCATTCTCCAGCTGCATCAGCTGCATCAGTTGCCTCTCGATCGGAATGGCGAGCACACTACCAACTTTGGCCATTCCAGGCCAGCGTCTGGCCCCTGTGAGCTCTTACGCCGCAGGACCCGGCACTCATGTGCAAAATGCGAACATCTACGCCTCCATCGCCGGACCCGTTCTCGTAAACCCCGCGAGCTCTAAAACCGCCAAGTCCACTCTGAGCGTCTCTCGCAGCCCCCTCCGCACAGCTGCTCCTGCTGCGCCTCAGTCCGCACCGAAGTCCACCGCTCCCGGCCCCTCCAAACTCCGGTACAACACTCTCCCGGCCGTTGACTCGATTGTGCTCGCCCGCGTGACGCGCGTGCAGAAGCGACAGGCCACAGTCTCCATCCTCGTCGTGCTCGACGAGTCAGCCAGCAACAAGGCGGGCCCGCCGCCGACCACGACGACGGCCCCCACCGGCGGTGCGTCGGACAACGACAACATCGAAGCGATCCTCTCCTCCGCCGCCAACCCGGAGAACCACAGCAACTCGGACGAGCTCCGGTTCCAGGCGCTGATTCGCAAGGAGGACGTCCGGGCCGTCGAGAAGGACCGCGTGGTCATGGACGAGATGTTCCGCGTGGGGGACATCGTGCGCGGCACCGTGATCTCTTTGGGCGACCAGAGCTTCTATTACCTGACGACGGCGCGCAACGACCTCGGCGTGGTGATGGCGCGCAGCGAGGCGGGCAATATGATGTTCCCTGTCAGTTGGAAGGAGATGCGGGATCCTGTCACGGGCGTGGCGGAGCTGAGGAAGGTCGCGCGGCCGTTTTGAGGCTCTTGCGTGAACCCTTTGCGCAATCTGATGATGATGATGATGATTATGATAATGATGAATCTGATGGGTGGATGGGCGGATGGTTGGGCTGGGATTTGTGACGCACAGGTGGCTAGGGGACGCTCTGCTTGGCTGAGTCCTGAGCTTTCCGGTTGAAGCAAGCCCTTCTCTCTGTCCGCATTTCCGCTTGTCTTGTCTTGCCCCAGGATTGGACCCATGAATGATTTCGCCTGAAGCCAACCCAACCCCTCCCGAGGTTTCGGCTACCGCCTGCAGTACAGCGGTGGGCTGGTCTTAGCTGGAGATGGAATGCCTGGAACGGTGGAATCCCTTTTGTTTCGCGTGAGCCTGGCTTGGGGCTGGTTGTATGACTTGGATAGGAAACTTTTTTTGAGAAGGGAGCTTCTAGTTTCAGACAGAACCACCTTATTCCTGCTGGCATGCGGACTCCGTGTCCGGTCCGGACTTGCAGAACGTGCTGCGGTTTGCGCCGTCTCAAGCTTGTTACACGACATCGGTACCGTTGCGACTGATGTCTAAGGGACTTCGGATGTTGATACTGACACTCTCGAGCGGCGGCCAGGATGGGCAAGAAGCCACACGACTGTACATAGGGCAGTGCACCTTGCACCAAGCGACTCCCCTCAGGGAATGTCAACACATGGTGGATCCGAGGATTCTTGCATTAGGATTGAGTCTAGAATAGAGTATACCTGAATCAATCTATGTATTAGCCACTCTTCCTGTTCGCGGAATATGAATACTACTTGTAGATCATCAATTCAATATTCTAATGCTTGCGGATTCACGCTCAAGTTGATCATGGTTTCAGTATACAATTCTGCTTCTTTGGACTACCAAGTTAAACAACATCGCCTGCCACTTGAACTCCAGAGACCAATGCGCTTGTTGATAAGCACATATCACCAGCATATAAGACTTGCCAGGGTAGCAATCTCCCACTACCTAGTTACTATATCCTGAGCCCCCTTGGCCACCAGTCACACTAGAACCCAAGAAATCCACACACACCAAGTTCGTACCAACCCAGCATAATAATGCTACATACTAATCATTCATAACCTTAGTCTACTAAAAATCCCAACCCCCCCAAGAAAATCAGGCACCAAACCATCACCGAAACTCTCATTTCTACAGAAAGACTTTCTACATCCACACACACACACACACACAGGCACAAAGAAAACTCCTACTTCTTCAAAGTCTTCTGCTTCTCGGCATCGATCAGCTTGCGGCCCTGCACGACCAAGCCCTTCCGCCGGCGCACGGCGTCCATGTACCGCTTGGCGACGTTCTCGCGGTCGGCCAGCTCGCCCAGGTCCTCGAGCTCCTCCTCGGTGGCGGGCACCCAGAAGGGGTCCTCGTCGAGGGCCTCGTACCCGGCGAAGATCAGCTGCGGCTGGGCGGCGCCCGACGTGCGCTTGCGGATCTCGTCCGCGAACCCGAAGGACTCGGCCACGGGCAGCAGGGCCAGGATCGTGAAGAACGGCGTCCCCTCCTTCATCGTCTCGGAGAGGATGCGGCCCCGTCGGCGGGTGATGACGCCGTAGACGCGGCCGAGGACTTCGGCTATCCGGGGGGATTAGTTTTGTGGTTGAGGGGGGGTTTTTTTTTGGTGGGGGAGGGGGTTTAGGTAGGGTTTAGAAAGGGAGAGGGGGCGGATAACGTACTCGACGCTTGGATCTCACAACTGTACATTGCAAGCATGATGCGCGGACTCCAGTCCAGGAAGCCCTGGGAGATACTCTCGCGGACGAGGCGGATGGCTTCACCCGTCAGCCGGCCGAGGTCCAGGTCTTCGCCGTTGGTGGAGTTTGCGGAGAGTTCTTCCAGGAAGACGGCGACGCCTTGCATGGGCTCCTGGCAGAGCGGTCCTTGGCCGGTCGCGAGCTGGAAGGCGTACGCGATCTTGTCGTTGAAGTCGCGGACGATCAGAGCGTCGCGGCTGTTGGTGGTGTCTGCGTTGACGGTGGGTTGTTGTTTGGGGTCGTCGAGGAGGCTTTTCTTGAATGTTAGTCAAGTGAATTAATTACAAGGGTCAGAGTTGGTGGGTGTGAGAATAGCGTGCTGCTGGCTGCTGGACTTACAATTTCTCGCAGGTGTTCACGGTTGTAGCATCTACCAGGATGTTAGGGCCGACTCGTCGGGGCCCAAAGGCTGTGATCCGGTCGACCACGTTCTTCCACAGCTCTTTGTCCTCCTTGACCTCTTCGTCGAAGATCTTGTTGAGCTCGGCGCGGAATTCCTGCAGCGACAGTAGAGTCGCCTCGCGGGCTTCCTCGGTGGTGGCTTCGCTGGTTTCCACGGGCTGGGTGCTCTCCGCTGCACCTTCGGCGTCGCTGCCGCCGGAGTTGTTCTCCGCAGCGGTTCGTTTCTGGGTTTGCAGTCGCTTGATGGTCCCCACGTGCTTGGAAAAGAACTCCGTCACAGCCGAAGGCAGGGGCACCACACGCAGTCGCATGGTCAGTTGCTTCGAGGGCGACACGGCCAGGATGCCACCGCGGCCGAGCTCGGGGTTCTTGGGTGCGGCCATCTCCGGGGCGCTGATGATCGTCTCGCGGTAGGGCACGATGGTCTGACCGGTTTGAATGTCACACTTGGCGAAACGCTCGCGCAGATCCTTCAAGCAACGCTCTAAGTGCAGTTCACCAGCCGTCAGAATCACATGCTCACCGCTATCGAGGACCTCGTATTGCGCGCAAGGGTCACTTTGCTCGAGGAGTCGCAGGCCGGTGACCATCTTGCTCAAGTCGGCCGGGTTCACAGGCTCCAGGGCAACGCGGACGATTGGAGGAGTGTTCAACGAAACACCCGCCAGGTTGATGCTGCCCTCGAGTTGCGAGCAGAGCGTTCCCGTCTTCAGAACGTGGCCAGCAAGACCCCCTATACCGAAGACAACACCCGCAGGCACGGACTGGAGGGGCTCCAGACTCCGGCCCATCAGCAGATACAGATCGGTGACTGTAACTTTCTGGGGCTCGGGGCTGGCATGCGGGTTCTCCGGGTTGAATTTGGGAGCGATCACATACACGGAGTCTCCCACGGAGAGCGTACCCGAGTAGAGACGTGCGAATCCGATCAAATGCTCGGGGTCCTCTTTCTCCTCGGGCTCAGCTGGCGCATCGTCAAGATAGGTTCGCTCGAGGGCCGACGTCACGCGAGAGAAATCGTCTTGCTGCTGACCGCCAGCTTCCGCCTGCATTTTGGCAATCTCCTCTCTCTTCTTGCGGGCAATCTCCCGCGCTTCATCCGCGGACATGGTGGTACCAGAGCGCTTCTTGCTCGATGAGAGCTCACTCTCCGGGATGGCGACCATCTTACTAACGTAGGCCACAACTGGCTCGTTCGGCTCCGTCTTGAAGCTGATCATTGCATCCTTCACCTTCTGGTCGATAAAGTCTGCTCCCGGGGAGTCTGCAATCAAGGCCGGTAGACGGGTTGCTTGAGCCGCGGGCGGACTGGGAAGGTATTCAATGACAGAGACTAGGACAGCGGTCGAAAGAGGCAGCCACATCGAGAACAAGGTGGTCATGATATTCTTAGGGTCGCGGGAGCGTAGGATGTAAGGGGGGATGTTGATGTTCAGAGACTTGGTGATCTTCTCCAACAAGGCCGGGTCGCTGTTGACGGTCAGTAAACGAACGATGGGCCATGTGCGGGTTACATCTCTTACCCCCGCCCTGAACCTCCGCCAGTCGTCGCTTCGTATGCTGCCCAG